CGGTCTCATTCTCATACTCCTCGTCCTCTCATTCTCCCTTCTCCCCCGTCCTCCTCCTCCTCTTCCTCCTCCTCCTCGCCCTCCTTCTCTTCTCCCTTCTCCTCCCCCTCCTCTTCCTTCTCCTCCTCCTCCTTCTCAGCAATATCATTATCATACTCCTCGTCCTCTCTCCTCCCACGGAGCTCGATATTTGCACCGCCATTGCCAAAACGATCTCCCAAATGGTCACCCGAACGGGTCTCATTCAGAACTTGCACTCCAGGGCTTCATTCACAACGACACCGACACTCGCCTCCCCCCCCGCTGCGGAAGACGGAAGGAGGGGGAGGAGGAGGAGAAGGGAAAGGAGAGAGAAACAGCAGGGGACGGAGGACGGAGCAGGACGGGGAAGCAGGAGGGGAAGGAGGAGAGGCATCCACCCACAACCCGGCAGTACCAAGGGCCACTCGAACATGATTGGCGGACCCCCGAACCCTGGAAACGCATCCTGCAAGAGGAGACAGCCCACCAGGGCAGGCACCCAGGGCGCCGACCGGCCGCTCCCTTCTCGGAGGAACAGAGGAGAGGAGGGGTTTGGGGAGGGAGGAGAACCAACAGAGATGGGGTCGATCGAAGCAGCACTTATCCTCCCGCTCCTCCTGTCTCCTCCTCCTTCTCCTCCTCCTCCTTTTCCTCCTCCTCCTCCTCCTCCTCCTCCCCCTGTCCCCTGCTCCTCCTGTCTCCACCTCCTCCTCCTCCTCCTCCTCCTCCTCCTCCTCCTCCTCCTCCTCCTCCTCCTCCTCCTCCTCCTTCCCTCCTCCTCCTCCCCTCCTCCCTCCTCCTCCTCCTCCTCCTCCTCCTCCTCCTCCTCCTCCTCCTCCTCCTCCTCCTCCTCCTCCCCTGTCCCCTGCTCCTCCTGTCTCCTCCTGTCTCCTCCTCCTCCTCCTCCTCCTCCTCCTCCTCCTCCTGGATCGTCGTAGAGCGATCTTGACTGCCTCACCGGCTGCCTTCGATGCAAAAGGCGGATGTGCTAAAGTTTCAAGTTCCCGACGCAATGTTTCAAAGGCTGTATCTCGAGGGGCTCTTGAGGGGTCCTGTTGGGGCTCGCTTGGACAATCTTGCGGCGATATTGGGTTCTCTTGAGGCCTCTCGAGATCGTTTCGGATCGAATTGAGGCCTACAATCTATGGATCCTGACTCTTGGGCCCTCTTGGAGATCCAGTGGGATCTTTGGGGGCGCTCCTGGGGCTGTCGTGAGGGCTTGGAAAACGCCCCCGTGGAGTTCCAATTATCTTCGGGGCGGCTGCGCCCGGGATGCCTTTTTCGGTCGGGGAGTCCCACGGGCCGCCACGCGCGCGCCAACAAAATATACAATTCACCTATTACTGGGGATTCTAGCACGCCTCTGGCCCGTTCAGCTGGCGGCGAGGAGGAGGAGGAGGAGGAGGAGGAGGAGGAGGAGGAGGAGGAGGAGGAGGGGGAGGAGGGGGAGGAGGAGGAGGAGGAGGGGACAGGAGGAGGCTCCCCAACAGAAATCCGAGACGCCCTCAAATTGCCTCGAAGAGGCCCCCAAGATCAGCCGGAGCCGGAGCCGGCCATGTAGCCGGAGCCGTCGACGCAGGCTTTCCTTTGTTCCTCGCGCTGTCGACGCCAATGTGCTGTCGCACATGCGGTCTGCAACCGATGTGCCGTCCATAGGTGTCCACATGAGAACCCCTGCCTCACTCCCCCCCCACAAGTTCGAAGGGGGGGCGGGGTCTGGGTTCACATGTCGCCACCGAGTCTCGGGCTGGGCGAAAGGGGGGGATAGCAAAGGGGGGTTTGAGAATCAGCTTACGTAGCTGATTTTCCCGGCGCCTCAAGGCACCCGAGGCGGCCATGTATCGAGGAATAGGCCCGGCGGCGGGGCCAGAACCAGCTGCATGCAGCAGATTTCGTAACCCCCCCTTTCCCTATCCCCCCCTTTCGTTCGGCCCGAGAGTCTAAGCATGGTTCCCTTAATTTGAATTGACCTGACTTGACTTGACTTGCGAAGCCGTCAGACAACCGACGTTGACACCCTGCGCGCGCCAGGGCCCTCGGCGAGCCCTCCCCCCACTCCTTGCTCCACGGGCGCGTTCTCCCGGCTTCGGGCCCTGAGTTCCTCACAGATCGATCCGCCTCGGAAGATGTTGAAGGAAGATGGGGTCTAGCCTTATGTCGGGCCTGTCCCCCTACAGGGGGATTTTGGACGAAAAATAAAAAACACCCCCGAAATACACCCCCAATGCCCAAGAATGCTCGACAAATCGCCCCCAGACTATGTTTTGACTATTTTTAACATTCCTCCCGTACAGGGACAGGCCCGACTTAAGTCTAGGCTCTCAGTTGTGGTTCTTCACGGTGCTTCGATCTTCTGCAACGTCAGATCTGTGGGTCGCCCAGCGCTCTGCCCTCCCCTCCCCTCCACCTCCGTGGCAGGGCGAAGCCAGCAGGACAACGTCGGGCTCCCCTCCACCGCCATGCCGAGACGAAACCAGCACCAGGTCAGCATCGGACTGGGGCAGCTCCCCTGGCCAAGCGCTCTGCCCGCACCCCACCTCCACCTCCGTGCTGAGACGGGGCCAGGACCAGTACAACATCGGACTGGGATAAACAATAATCTCTGAGATCCGGCGGTTTTCGAGGATGCAAAGGGCGCCGCGACCGTTCCAGAGCGCTCCAGAACACTCTATAGGAGCGTTCCAGAACGCGCTGCAATGATGTGTGCAGGTCCTGGACCCGCCTGACACGCATCCCTGCGATTACATCCCGTCGCCACGTCAGAAGGAATAGCGTGCGCGTGTGCGTGACCAAAACGCACGACGGGAAGCTTTTGTCGGTGTTCTGCCTCTGGCAGTCCTCTCTGGGCCCCGAGACCTTCAAACAACGACTCTGGATGAAACTCCGGTTTCGGTTTCCGGGAAGGGGTCCTGCCGTACAGAGAACCATGACGGGTGGGGCCTGGGAAAGCAAGCACCCGGCGGATACAAGGGCAGCGGAACAGACGCACCGAAGCATCTCCACCCCACGTGATATCGTGTGGCCCGCTCCGGTAACCCTGAATCCCAAAAAGTTGGCCATCTCTTTGGAGGCGCAACGTGCACTCCCAAGGAATTCCGCCACTCTTCCGCTCCGCCATCGTTCTGCTGGCGCCGCCTGCCGATCCCGCTGCCTTCCGCCGAGGAAGAGACGCCAAGTCCTTCGGCCCTCAGAGACGAGGCCCTGCCCGGAGATCCTGACGCCTCAATCTCTTCGAGCCGGGCGTTTCCGCTTGTTTTCTGGGCCCCGGGACCCTCATAGATCGATCCGGCTAGAAAAGTGGCGCAGACAGACGGGGATGGTCCAGGGCTCCGATCGTGATTTTCACGAGTTCCAATTTTTCCAGACGTCGGATCTCAGCTCTGAGATCCGGCGTCGCGCAAGAATTGCAACGTCGCGAAGAAATCACGACTGGAGCCCCAGATCCAATTTTCTGTATACATGTTCGAGCCCGATGGACATGTGAGGGTCCCGGGGCCCGAAACTTGGCGAAAGCGCCCGATGTGAAAAACGTACATCGCCAGACTCTGAAGTTCTGGTCGTGGTCTTGTCTCGAGACGTCGGATCTCAGGGCTTCTGGCACGCCTCGGATGCGTTCCTGCTGAAACGCCAATGCAGCTGCGGAGGCGTTGTCGAGGCGCCGCGCTCTCCGCTGATGACGTCCTCCGGCCCGCGCGGGATCCGGAGCTCGCCGCCCTCATCGGCAGCAAGACGCCCCAGGCAGTGCGAGAGGCGCTGGCAGTCCATGGCTCGAGGGACCACCCATGACACAAGCATGAGCCCTCGGACGTCCACGCGGACGTCTTGGATCGGCCCTGGAGCCATCCTGGGGCGGCGACGCTGCACACTTCAGACCCCCCCCCCTCCTCCTCCTCCTCCTCCCTCCTCCTCCTCCTCCTCCTCCTCCTCCTCCTCCTCCTCCTCCTCCTCCTCCTCCTCCTCCTCCTCCTCCTCCTCCTGATCCTCCTCCGCGCCGAGGCCCCAGAGCCAGCCCGCGGCGCCTGCGGCGCCGCCCCTGGAGCGCTCCGCGCGCCAGGGATGGGGGCCCCAGCGCCGATCCGCGAAGTGCGCGCGGACCTCCGAAAGTCTGTGCTTATGTGATCGTTTGTTCCTCGGCTGGTGGCGTCTGCCCCGTCGGCGCCCGTGCAGGGGCCGCCGGCCTGTGCGGCCTGCTTGCGGAAGGCAACGGCCATGTAGAGCTGGAGGGCCTCCCACTCCGGCGACCCCTGCGCGCAGTCCATGCCCCCGGCGAAGGAGTAGATTCGCCGCAGCCGGCCCAGCTCGGACTTGACGTCGCCGTCGCGGAGCGCCTCCGAGACCAGCTGCGCCAGCGACCGCGGCTGGGCGTGAAGCTCCAGGCCGTGGCGTCTCGCCATGTGGACCAGGGTGGGGAAGTGGACGAGGGGCTCGAGGCAGCCGTCGACCGCGTCGACGAGACTGAAGCGGTAGGCGATGCCAAAGAGGTCGCAGCAGCCTTCTGCGTCGGCCCCGTCGGCGCCCTCGCCTCCCTGCCACGGGCGCCACTGCTCCACCGAGCGCTCGACCCTCGCCCACTGCTCGGGCTCGAAGGCGACCTCGTAGAGGTCGTTCGACCTCCTCGCCTCCCCGCGCGGGGCCCCCGTCGCCAGCGCGCCGACAATGGCGGCCGCGTCCGGGAGGGTGGCAACGAAGAGGCCCCCTTCGCAGAGGCGCCCCGCGGCGTTGCGCAGCAGGGCCTCGGCGGACTCCTGTTTTTTTTGGGGGACACAGAGACACCGATGCCGCTGCTCCCCAGAGCTCGTTGCTGGGGCGCGTTCTGGGCAAGATTCCGGGGAGAATCCGGCCGTGGCGACGAGAGCTCTCCAGGACGAGCTCCTGCACAGGTAGATTCTCCCCCCCTTGCAGAAGCGCGTCACACTACTCGCAAAGTAGCTACTCGCAAATGGGCTGGATCCGCCTCGGGAGATCTACGATCCAATCCATCAAGGGGAACATGTGCATTTTCTCGCGTTTTGCGAGTAGGCAGCTCTGCAAACAGTGGACCGCGCTCGGCGAAGTAGACTCTCCCCCCCCTGATCCCTAGACTCGAAGGCGTAGTGGCACGCCATCTGCGAGGACACGAGGTGGAACCACGCCCTCCCCTCGCCCTGCAGGCGCGCGGTGCCGTGCCCGGCGGCGTCCAGCAGCAGCGCCACGTCCTCCCTCCAGCAGTCGGCGCGCAGCAGCGACACCTCCCGCAGCGGCAGGGCCCCGCCTGACAGGAGGCGCCAGCACCAGGGGCGCCCAACTTCGCGCTGCGCGGATAGCGCGGATAGCGCACATCGCTTCGCGCTCTCGTGCCGGCCCCCCAGTGGAGAGAGGAGGGGGAGGATGGACGAATCGGAGCCAAACCGCGAAGCGCGAATCGCTCCGCGCCCTCGAGAGGGCGCCCCCTCTGCCTCTGCACACCGACCGCCGACGCTGGCCTTCGAAGGCGTGGCCCGACCTCCTCCTCCTCCTCCTCCTTCTCCTCCTCCCCCTCCTCCTCCTTCTCCTCCCCCTCCCCCTCCTCCTCCTCCTCCTCCTCCTCCTCCTATGAATATGTGCGATCCGCCGCCGTTGCTCTTGGCGTGTCGCGGCGGCGGCGCCCCCGGCGACGCGCCCTTTGCAAGCGAATATATATATATATATATATATATATATATATATATATGGCGCGCCGCTGCGCCCCGCGGGGCGGGAGGCCAGGAGCTGCTCTGGGCGCGCGACACGATTGAGGGATGCAGTGGACGTCCCGCCCTCCCGCCCACACCCGCCCGTCGTCGTCGTTGTCGTCGTCGTTGTCGACGACGTCGACGACATCCGTTTGGGCGGATCTGCCCGTTATCGTGGGGCGGCATCCAAGTTAAGTTAAACTGGTTTTGACACGACGTCATCCTGTGGTTGGATCCGCCCAAACTGGTTTTGACATCGACGTCGTGGATCGTGGGTATCTGCCCGCCCGTTTGGGCGGGCAGATACCCACGATCCACCGCTCCGCGAGAGATCCCAGGGCACGACCCCGATGCCCGTGCGCATGGACACAGATATCCCGGGGGTGGACTTTGTGGCGCACACACCCCGCGTGGCGGGCGGGGCGTCGCTTACAATGGGGGGGGGGGCGGAAAATGGGGGGCAAAAGCGGTGCACTTCTCGGGCCCGAAAGGCCCCCTTCGATGAGCAAAGTCTGAGGTGACAGATCGGACGTCTGACAGCTGCACTTTTCCTCCGCAAAGTTCTCTCACAACTGACTCGAGCGCACGTGCTTTGAACACCCTCTGCAGATCGAAAGGCTCGGCTCACTCAGCGTGAGGCCGACCGGATTCACGAGCGCAAGCTTTCACGATAAAACCTGCTTAAGCCGTCGCGGCTACGGGCAGAGATGACACAGCATGACGACAGGCCCCCTTTGGGGCCCTAAGAGCCCCATTTCGGCAGCCCTCGCTGCCCCCCCAATTTCGAGGATGGACAGACCCCCCTTTAGTAAAACGTGGTTTAGTGAAAACGACCTGAAGCCCAAACCTGGCGGGCGCAAGCCTGGAAAATCACGGCCACGGCGCCCTCTCGAGAACCGAAAACGGACAATTCACTAATCGACGTGTCACTGTTGGGGGTTCTGTCCACCCCCGACAATTACCGCCGCCCTGACGCGACGCCCAAGCGGGCCATGAGGGCGGGCGCCCGGGCCCTCGGGCGCAGGGCTGGTCTTGGCACTGCCGTCGTGCTACCACGAGGAGCGCAGACTGAACGAAGAACGGGGGGGCTAGAGAGTCCAGGCTTCGCCAGGGACTGGCTTCCCCCCGAAGCGACGAAAACCCTGCCAACACCCTCGCGCAACCCTCCGACCAAGTCTCACAGAACCCTTCCCTGAGGGTTTCCGGATGATTCGGCATCAAAGGACCCCTAGCCATCTGAGAGGCGACCAAAGTCAGGAGGAATCGAAACATTAGGGATATGGGAGTCTTTCTCCGACAGATGTGTCGAACCAAACCGCCCAGATCTAGTGTCCCTAGTGCAAGAACAAGGTTTCTTTGTATCCTCGATGATCGGAAGGTTTCGGCCGGGCTTCTCGGTTGTTTTGAAAAGGAGCCGTGGACTTGCTGAACGGAATGGGCTTGTCTGGCACGGCGCGCCTCGGCCACGAAGGCTTCGGACTTCCACAACAAAACAAAACCGGAGGGCCCCATTCGGAAGGGGGGCATGACTGGCGCTGCCTTGGAGGGCTCCCAGTGGGGTCTGGGCGAAAGGCCGCCCTCTCGTGGCTGGTCTGGGGGCGTCAGCCTGCCGGTCAATCAGCCGTTGGCTCCAGGCCAGGCCTCGCCACCGAGGAGGAGGAGGAGGAGGAGGAGGAGGAGGAGGAGGAGGAGGAGGAGGAGGAGGAGGAGGGGGGGGGTCTAAAACTGCTTGTCTGGGAGGGCTGTGGCCCCCCTTCCTGGTAGTGCGGAATTTGGAAGAAGTTCCCCGGCATGGCGCCGAGGAGCGGCCGGCAAGCCAGAGCCCCTCTGAATGGTGCCCTGGGGCACGCAAACAAATGGATACAAATAACAGGATCCCCAACATTTTCTTAGATTTCCTAGGTTTTTGTTCTCCCCCCACTTCCCATATTTTTTCCATATCTTCTGGGGAATCGACGATTACTTGTGCCTGTGTGTGTTTCCCCCGTCCTGAAATCTCAGCGTCTTGCCTGTGAGGCGCCAGACTGCGCGCAAACGCAGCCCCCAGCAGCCCGGGCTGGCCTCGGAGGACCCTCACAGGAGGTCCCCAGGGTGGCCCCAACGTCGGACCCTGAGATCCAACGCCTCGAGAAACAAATTCTTCCTCGTAGAAAATCACGACCGGGCTCTGAAATCCTGGCGTTGCAAATTTCGGGACCGTCACAGATCGATCCGGCTCGAAAATTGACGCAGACAGATGGGCTCCAGGGCTCCGGCTGTGCTTTTGTTCAACGATGTGGTAAGCGTCGGATCTCAAGGCTGAGATCCGACGTTTCGAAGAAACAGAAACAAGCAATTATGCTAACGGAGTTCCCCACATAAAGATATTAACGGTTTCGTGGGACCCCTGGGGTACGACAACATCAACACGAAGGAGAAGCTCATCGAACGAGTAAGTACGCACGAAAGGGCAGACGAAAGAAAGGAGGAGGGAGGACAGGTGCTCAGGAAACGAAGCCATGTAAATAGTACGGTTTCTTGATACCCTCCTCGCTCTGGCGGGCCCCGCTGGAAGGGGGGAAGGCTACGAAACCTGGTAAAGAGCAATGCTTTCCGCGACCCTCCTCGTTCAAGCGCGGCCTCTCTGGAGGAGTGGAGGTGGGAAGGGCACGAAACCATGTAAATAGTATTGGTTTCCGATACCCTCCTCGCTCAGGCGGGGCCTCCCTGGAGGGGTGGAAGGGGAACGAATCCGTATAAATAGTATGGGTTTCCGATACCCTCCTCGCTCCGGCGGGGCCTCCCTGGAGGGGTGGAAGGAGCACGAAACCATGTAAATAGTATTGGTTTCCGATACCCTCCTCGCTCAGGCGGGGCCTCCCTGGAGGGGTGGAAGGGGCACGAAACCATGAAAATAGTATGGGTTTCCGATACCCTCCTCGCTCAGGCGGGGCCTCCCTGGAGGGGTGGGAGGGGCACGAAACCTGATAAATAGTATGGGTTTCCGATACCCTCCTCGCTCAGGCGGGGCCTCCCTGGAGGGGAGGGAGGCGGGAGGCGGGAGGGAGAAGGAGAGGAGGTTCTGGGAAAACAGGAACCCCACTCAGGATGTGGGGCACGAAACCATGTAAATAGTATGGGTGTCCGAGACCCTCCTCGCTCAGGCGGGGCCTCCCTGGAGGGGTGGGAGGAGCACGAAACCATGAAACTAGTATGGGTTTCCGATACCCTCCTCGCTCAGGCGGGGCCTCCCTGGAGAGGTGGGAGGGGCACGAAACCATGTAATAGTATGGGTTTCCGAAACCCTCCTCGCTCAGGCGGGGCCTCCCTGGAGGGGTGGGAGGAGCACGAAACCTTGTAAATGGTATTGGTTTCCGATACCCTCCTCGCTCAGGCGGGGCCTCCCTGGAGGGGTGGAAGTGGCACGAAACCATGTAAATAGTACGGGTTTCCGATACCCTCCTCGCTCAGGCGGGGCCTCCCTGGAGGGGAGGGAGGCGGGAGGCGGGAGGGAGAAGGAGAGGATGTTCTGGGAAAACAAGAACCCCACTCAGGAAGTGGGGAAAAAGCATCGCAGCACATCACGACCGGGTGCGCAGGAGGAACTCCCAAAGAACCGATGCCTTCATCTGTTCAGTGCGAGGTCACCAGAAGCCGGGACCCTTTCCCCAAGGCCGGTCAGTCGTCCCGAGTCGTTCTCTGGCGGTCCCTGGGCCTGGCGAGGGCCCCTGGAGGCGGAAAACTGCGAAAAACCTTTGTCTTGTGTGTTTCAATGCGTCGGATGTCTGGGGACGGGCAGCCAGCACTCCCGCCTGGCTTTCGGGTCATGACATCTCGGCTCTCTGGCGGCCCCGCTCGGGACGCGATGTGGGCCCCCCTGGAACGCTCTCGGCGAGGCGCAGCTACTGGAGAGCACAGCGAGTCTGGAAAGCCGCCGAGAACCGACGAAGACTCTCGAACACCACCATTCAAGAGGAACCGATACCGCTACTCCGCAGACCTCCCGAGAGGGCTTTCTGCCAAGCATTTCGAGGAGAACCCAGCTGTGAGGATAATAGGATCCTCCCGAAGAGTGTCCGAGTAGATAGTGTCGGAGGATCGCGCCGCATCGCCAATGCATCGCCAATGTATCGGCGATGTATCGGCGATGCATAGGCGACGTTGGCGGTGCATCGGAAAAGTCGGCCCATAGAAAATCAAGCTCCACATCGAGCCGCATTGCCGATGCATTGGCGATGCATCGGCGATGCGGCGCGATCTGGGAGGCCAATATCTTGTCCTCTTCCTCCTCCTCCTCCTCCTCCTCCTCCTCCTCCTCCTCCTCCCCCTTTGATGATGATGATGGTGATGGTGATGATGAGGTGATGGTGATGGTGATGGTGATGGTGATGGTGATGGTGATGGTGATGGTGATGGTGATGGTGATGGTGATGGTGATGGTGATGGTGGTGATGATGATGATGATGGTGATGATGATGATGATGATGATGATGATGATGATGATGATGATGATGATGATGATGATGATGATGATGATGTACAAGCGTGCCGTCGGCGCCCCCCCCTGGCCTCCGCCCAGCAGCCCGTGCCTGAACCGGCCGCTGTCGCGAAGCAGGCCGCCCACGCGCCGCACGGCCTCGTGCAGGGAGGCCTCGGAGACGTCGGCACCTCGGCGGCGGGAGTGCATTGCGTATGTACCTTCCTCCTCCTCCTCCTACTTGTCATTCTCCTCCTCCTCCTCCTTCTCCTCCTTCTTCTCCTCCTCCTCCACGTCCTCCTCTCCCTCCTCTCTGCCACAGGGCGCTCTGCGGAGGGTAAATCAAAACGTAAGGCCCATACCGACGCCCAGGCGCCCTTCGCCTGACCCCCTCGCAGCCTCCAGATCACAAGTGCCCCGCGCCTCGCGAGAAAAAGACACGACGTAGCTTTGGCGATGTTCTGCCCAGGGGGACCCTCCCCGGGCCCAAGGCCCCTCCAGAAGCGACTCAGGATGAAAAGCCGGTCCTGTCGGGCGGGTAGAATTGGGCGGTGACACCAATGGGGGGCACAGATTATTCTGAATTCTCGAGGGCGGGGGCTGGGCCTAGGATGCGACTGGTGACCCCAGCCGTCTTCCCATTACCCTTCCGCCCACCCTCCCTGCCTCTCAATCTCCACTTTTATATCTATATATATATATATGTGTGTGTGTGCGCGTGTGTATGTGTATGTGTATATATATTTACAATATATATATATATATATATGTCCCTACATCGTTCGTCTCCCCTTTTCTCATCTCAAATGTACCCATCTCTCTCTCTCTCTCTCTCCCTCTCTTTCTCACTCTCTCTCGCTCTCTCGCTCTCTCTCTCTCTCTCTCTGTCGTTCCGTCTCTCTCTCTCTCTCTCTCCTCTCTATCCGAATACCGCTCTCTCTCTCTCTCTCTGTCTCGTCTCGGCTCGAGGGTCTGCCAGCCCAGGGCGCAGCCAGCACACGAAGTGCCCAGCATTCCACTGATAGCATGGCGACTGCACCTGTGACCCTCACCACAGGACTGATTCGTGCCACATCCTGTTACGCATCCCCTCGCGCGCCACAAGGGTTCAAGAGAGCCATCGCCGCGCGCTTCATGTGCCGCCGCAGCACAAGCCACCAGGCAAGGGCCGCTCAAAGGCAACCTTAACGAATCGGCAGCATACCAACCTCAGACGAAAGCAAGCCTGCATCGCCGCACTCCACAGCAGTGGCGGCGCCGACCGAGCAGCCGCTGATAACCATCAAGACGATTCTGGCAACATATATTGACCGCGCCGCCGTCGTCGTGGACGCAACGCCAGCATAGTCACCATCAAAGTCATCGCAGTTGTCGAGAGTGGGCTTCCCTCCCCCCAACTTCTTTATCACCCGAAGGGTGGTCGTATAGAAGTGTGTAGTTATGTATATGTGTATACCTTTTCCTCTCTTCATACCTCTCTCTCTCTCTCGTTCCTCTGGCTTCTCCTTCTCCCCCACTTCCTCGTCCTTCCTTCCGTCGCCATCCTTCTCCGCAATCCCCTCTCCTCCAGCATCCTGTTCTCTTCCCCCGTCCTCCTCGTCCTGCAGCTCCGACCGCTTCCGTTCATTCCTACCATACCCGACACTTGGAAGAAGCACGTGGAAGCATGCAGCGGGAAGGCGGATAATTATGGTAGACGGGGGTCGGGCCCGCCCAAATAATAACACTGCACAACGCAGCAAAGACAGATCGGTTCGCGAAGCAGGCACGCGCTTGACATAGATCTGGATCTGGGAGCCCATAAGCACCGACCCTCAACGACCGGCTGGTACTGTCCCGGTCCTGCTGCCTCCGCGCCTCCTCCGCGCCTCCTCATCCTCCGACCTGCCCCGCTTCACGCGTGGGCTTCGATCGCCGAGAGAGGTGAGCGTGCGGGAGGTCCTCCACGAGACCCCGTCCTCCAGCTGCGACTCCAGTCATCTAGACGCCAAACGGCGATCGACGGCGAGCGAGGGGGGGAAGCGACAAGACAAGGAGAAGGCTCTCTCAGAAGCCCGCTCTGGCTTTCTGCGGAATTGCCTGTGTCTTCGGGGAAAGCTTGAACAACTTCTCAGAAGGCTGTGAGAAGGCCCGCCCCCTCTCACTTCCCCAAGGGATGACTGCCGAGATGAGACTTTCAGCACGGTCTGACCGACGGTCTGACCCGTGATCTTCACACGCCCTTCCATCACGAATCGAGTCAGCACACCTTCAAGTGAATGCACAGAGCAACCAACGTTGATGTGGCAGGCACGTGCGGTGTCAGGGGGATGGGGCCGCACACTCCCTTCCACACGTTGGAAGGGGGGGGGGGGGCTGCGACGTCCCTGTGCGCAGGGCGGGATGGCCACGGATGAGCACCGCGCACGTTACGCACGTCCAGCATGATCAGCAAGCAGTACGAGAAGCCTGCCTGAGACCATAGGGCAGGCAACATGAGACACGAGCTTCCCAATCACCATCGCCAAGCACGTCTTCTTCTGGGAGGGCGGAGACGGGAGCGGACCACACGACGAAGCCTCCGCGCGTCTGGGCGCGTCCACCAGCACGAGACACGCCCTGGCGGGCACCTTCGGGCACCCCCGTCCGCCGGGGCAGCATGCAGGCAGGTGCATCGCGGGCGCTCCACCCGACAGGTGACTCTGCCACCGTGCTGGGCCGTAGGCACTTGTGAGAGATGGGGAGTGCCCTCAGGTCCGTTCGACATCTGCGTACACAACATCTGAATGCTCTTTTTGGCTACACGCAGGAGTGACCGTGGGCAAGAGTGACCTCTGGTGCAAGGCTTCTTAGGGGGCACGGGGGGACGATCCACAAGCGCACGAGATACTATTACCACATCGCGTTCGACAATCGGGGGCGCCAGTGGGCTCGCACCAAAGGTCACTCCGACGAAGGGTCACTCTTACGTGTAGTCGATCTTTCAGGGACCAGAAGCCCCGTGTCATGAGCGCTCCCGGGCTTGCTCGGGAAGGCCCGCGCGACTTCTCCTGACCTCCCAGGGCTTCCTCCGTTTCGCCACCCTCGGAGGCCAGTGGTGCGGCCCGAGAGCTCAATACACGTGGGCGCACGACCTGTTTTTTTCTTACTCTGGGACCTTGGACAGAAGAACATCCTCCAAGAACGCGAGACCCTCCGCTGGCCCATTTTGAAGAAGAACATTCGAGGGTACCCTCCCCCAGGATGCACGAGACTATCCAACACAAACGAAGAACACGAGGAGACCCTCCCCGAACCGACCTCGATCTTATACCTCGGTCCGACCGTATCTTCTTGTCCGGTCTGAAAATCACTCAAGACAGTCCAGCATGCCCCATACATCGAAAGCGACGCAAGAGGCCCCCAAGACGACCCCCAGAATGGTCCTCCCCCGACGGCGGCGATGACAGCGGCGGCGGCGGCGGCGACGCGGGGGGGGCCCCGCGTCGGCGCGAGCGGCGCCGCAGTAGCTGGCGACGCCACAGTTCACCATCTTCTTGAGGTCACCGCCCCGGCCGCAACCGAGGTCCAGGACCGCCAGGCGCCCCTCACCGCTGGGCAGCCGATCGCGGACCTCGCCGGGGCGCTGCTCAAAGGTGCCCAAATGCTGACGCCCAAGGGGGAAAACAGATTGGCGCGGTCCTCGAAGAAGGAACCAGGGCTTCTGCGGAGGCATGCATCTTTAGAAGAAGAGAGAACTTTCTGAACATATACTTTCGGAACATCGCGCGGATTTCTTGGCTCGGCGCTGCAAACCCCATGCCGTGCAGATTTCTTGGATCGGAGCTGGAACCACTGGCGGCCCCTCTGGTGGTCCAGGGAGGGCGGTCAAGGGATGATGCAGCACATCCGTGCGGAGATACGACAGTGTATGCTTAGGCCGTTTCTTTCTCTTCGGACCTGGTCCTCGTCTGAGCTCTGAAAGCGCTGCGGAACGGCCTGGGACGGTCTGATCCGCGTCCTGGCCCCGCCCCGATCGTTTCCCTGTCTCTGGGCTCGGGCATACCGAAGGAGGGCGCCCCTCCTCCAGTTCCAAAATTAGCGGGCCGGCCCGGAGAGACGGGCGGGAGAGTGGCCGGCCAGGGGCGGGAGTCAGGGCGGGAGTCAGGGCGCGGTCGCTGCGCGGATATGAGTGAGGGCGGGCGCGGGGAACGTCGCGGGTGGGTCGCGGGCGGGTGGCGGGCGGGTCCGCGGGTGGGTCGCGGGTGGGTCGCGGGTGGGTCGCGGGACGAACCGTCTCGATGCGCACGGTGCTGACATCGACCTCACTCGCGCCGGAGCTCCTTAAGCCACCGCGCAGACTCAGACGAAGGCAGAGTGGCGTCTTGGCGTGCCCAGGGGGCAGCGATCGGGGGCAGGCTCTCCTGGACGGCCGCTGGGCTTCTCAGAAGCCCTCCAGCCTTCTGCTGAGCCGTCCCTGCCTTCGGAGACGGCTCAGACAACTTCCCAACGGCCCGAGGCCTTCCGAGCCTTCCGCGTGGGCCCGCCTCCTCTGCATTCCTCCCTGGGCTCGCCGCCGAGATAGATCAACCCCGAGCGACGAGAGTGTCGCCCCAGCCGACGGACGCCACCGCACTGCGGCAGCGCCCGCAGCGCGCAGCTCAGACATGGCACTCACCACCGGCCGCACCAGCCCTGCTGGAGGCCCTGGCGGGGCCACCTGAGATCCGACATCGCAAACGAAATTCAGCATCGCAAGAAATCACGACCGTAGACCTGGGCGGAATCTTTGGAATCTCGACCTGGGTACGGAAAGCTTGGGTACGACGTCTGCCAGCAATCGTTTTCCACAACCGACAGCGGCCGCTGTTGCGCAGGCCAACGGACAACGAGCCCACCTCAAAACGAGCAAGAACTGCTGTCAGCCGTTGTCCCCATGATTCCCGTGATACCGATCGGTCGGAAGAAGTAGGTAGGAACATGAAGCAGGAAGGCGTTGAAAGTAGATTGGGTTCCGTCCGCCGCCTTGGGCGGACGGAAAAGGTGGAGCCACTCGATCATTGAAGCAGGAAGGCGCTTGAAGTAGAGTGGTACATGGGAATCCAAAAAATACCTACGTACTTTCAACGGCCGATGAGTACCCATCCCGATCGTTCCGGCCACCCTTCTGCGGCCCCTCCTCCAAGCCGGCTCGATCTACGCGAGGCTCCCGGAGCCCAGCACCGGGCGGATACCACGGACGACGCGAGGGAGGCCAAGATTAGGTCGGGCGTGCCCCCCTACAGGCGGATTTTGGGTGAAAAATAAAACATACTCCATAAATACTCCCAAATACAACAAACAAATCGCCCCCCGACTATTTTTGGACTATTGCTGGAACGTTCCCCCTGTAGAGGGACGGGCCCGACTGAAGCCCAGCGCCGGGCAGATACCACGGACGACGCGAGGGAGGCCAAGGGGAGTGCCGCGCACGGGGCCTCCGCGAGCACGCCGCGCCCCGCGCGGGCTCCAGGAGGAGACGGCCCGTGCTCGGGTGCCGGCCGCGCGTCGCTCGGACTGTGTATGGGGTTGAAGCACAAGGGTACAGAACCCCTGATCCGTTGGTAGAGAGGAGGAGGGATAGATGGATATCTTTCCCTCCCGCACGATCAAGGTCTGATCGATCTATCTCAATACCTGAGCTCAAACGGCCAGGCGCAGGAGAGGTAAGGATAAGGAGTATATATGAGGGTATTACACGGGTTCCATTCACACCCCCCGTCCCGAATCCCGCCCGCGAGGGCAGGACTCGGGAACAAAGGAAGGGAATCCGTCACCCTTTGACTCCTTTAGTCCTTAAGTCAGGAGGCAGCTGGGCTTCAAGTCAGCGTAGCCACAGCTGCAAAGTGAAGTTAGAAGGAACACCCTGGGTCCCCTTTCTTCGCCAAGCACACTTTGGTGCCCCCTCGGTGCGCCCCCCAAAACGCTTCGGCACTCGAGGGCGGAGAAGAATGAGACAAGGGTGGGCGGAGAAAGAAGATCTGAGCATTAAAGCAACATGCAAACTGCCTCGCTTTTGCGAGGCAGGTGTTGCCACCAGCTAACAGATTATTCTCGACGCAATCAGGTTTAAACTCTGAAAAAAAAATATGCATGCTAAGATCGCGTTGACAAACACGATCTTGTAACGAAACACAACTCTTTGTAAAAGCAAATGTCTGGCCAGACGGAATGTCGCGTTGATGAACACGAAAATGCATGTGTATAAATTCTGTTTGGCGACTCCCGTTGGCGTTGCTCCTTAGGAGGCTACCTCGGTTACCGCAAAAGGTATTTGTGTGTGTGGCCACTTGTGTTATATAATGAAGTGGCCTAAAAGTATGTAATAGCCACCGCTCAAGGCGAACTTTGGTTATAATGAAGTTCATGCCTTTGAGCGGTGGGCCTTGCGGCCGACTCACTACGCGTTGCCGTTCTTGCAGAACCTGCGGTCCCACATCCTCTGGCCTTTGTGCGTCACGTAACTCGTCGTGAATGTTTCCCAAGCTGTCCTCGGGATCCAGTTGCGAAACCAATCATTGTACTGGATATCCTGGATGTATACGTACTCGTCGTTGTTGATCGCGATGTAGATCCAACAGTTGATGTAATAACTCCAGTACCTGAGACCCCAGTAGCTGTCCTCGAGGTCGTCGCGCCAGTAGGCGGCGGAATCTGATGCACGCGCTCTCTTGGCACGTGGCCCCGCGGGCGTGTAGTCCGTCGCGCCAGAGGCGCTGGACGCAGCAGCATCGCCAGGGGCAGGGCGCGGCGGCGGCCGCGGATGGCGCGGCTCCATGGCATCATCGGACTGATGGGATTGTGTATCGGGATCGGTTCTCATCCCTGTATCAACCCCCCTCTGGTCGGTATGCGACGGATCGAGGGAGCCTAACAACTCGTTGGCAATCGCGGCAAGCTTACGCTGAGTGAACTGTTCACGGGTGCCGTCCCTTCTAGGGAGGGCAATCGTGACCAGTCCGCGAGCCTGCCGCGTCTGCCTGTCGAGACGGCCCTCGTTCAGCCACCATTTCCTCCGACCAGCCTGTCCTGTCCTAATGCTGACGTCGAGGATGTCCCACGCATCGCGCATGTCGTCCACGGTCCAGGCCTTCTTGCCGACGTTCACGCGGGCACCTGTCATTTGGTGGTGGAACTTCAGGTCGTTGAGAAAGCGTTGTACGAGATTGGCGAATGGGCAGTACAGAGGTCTGTCGTCATCGGCTTCGCCCATCAGTCTGCATTCGTGCGCAGCAGGGCTACCTGATTCGACCCACTTATGATACCTCTTTCTGGACGAATTAGCCAATCTCCGCAACAAATCTTTCTCATTGCCTGCGTGTGATCGCGCACCCGTCATAATGACGTGCGCTCCGTCCTTCATGTATCTCGCGATCTGGTCCTCGGAGAGCGTCATCTTGATCCAGTTCGTCGGCTTCTGGAGGTACGCGAGATCGCTCTGTACGGCGGTACTCTTACCCGTGGCGCCTACGGCCACGGTATACTGCCAACAGATGTCACAAAGGGCGCCGTCACCTGTGACGATCCCAAGGGACAGATCTCGGCCGCAATTCTGACAGAGAGGTATGGAATGCAAGATCGTCTCTGGGGCCCCTTCCGTCGTGAGGTAATCACGGGATCCCCAGCGAGTGTCCTGACCGCGAGCGAGGCTCTGGCCGATCTGATTGATGGCCTCACGATTGATTTCGGAGTTCGGTCGGGAAGCGATTGATCTACTTAATCCCTCGATCTCGATCCTAGACAATCTTTCCCCTGGCAGTCCTTTGTACTCTGTCCTGGTGTTGTCCGTATCCTCGGTTCCACCATGGCATACGTTCTCTGTACGAAGACGGCGAGCCTTCTCCTGCAAGGCGGACTCGTTGTCGCCCTCCTCGCGCTTGAGTCCCGTCTGCTCGGCTATGATACGTGCCATGGTTTCCTGATCAGGAGCTGCGGATGCAACGCTGCCTGGGTCCCGGGGAATATCCTGCTCCGCGCCTTGCTCTCGAGGCGCGGCAGGTGTTTCCACCAGCTCTTCCCATACAGGAAAGTCTGGGTTACCGTATGTCTCGGTACAATTCTTGAATAGGTCACGCAACGCCTGGAGTGCAGGATGTTTCTCATGGATGGCATCTTTTGTGAAATCTGGAAGCTCCGCAATACTATCTCTTTCAAGATGTTCTGATATACTTTGGAGATCCATTGAAAGACGCCTGTAGTCGACTCCTCGATAGTCTCTGGGTCGAGGTAATGTACCAACTTTTTGAAGAAAAAAATGATCTGCACTGCAATTTGGTAAGTCACGTGCCCATTTGTGGGTATGATCATAATTCAATTGGTGTGACTCTGCATTCCATGCTTTCGATCCAATTCGAATCTCAAAATGCGATTGTGTTTTATCCATTACAATGCTGTCCGCGCCGCTGTGTATCTCGATGATCTGTTTCATCTTTATCATAGGCGAATCCACCAACAACTCCGACGTCCAACGGTATATGCGGCAGTCATCTGACTGTTTAATCCATCTTGAATCCTCGTCGGGGTCGTAGTCTGGATGGTTGAGGAATTCCGCTGGCGGGTCAATATGTTGTCGAGTATGCTCGCCTCAATCTGCTC